GAGGGAGAGAGGGAGGGAGAGAGGGAGGGGGAGAGAGGGAGGGAGGAAGGGAGGGAGAGAGAGAATGGCCATCATGTTCCTGCGGAGTTCTGTCTCGGTAAGTTGGGATCTTCCACCTCCAGCGGGGGATTATTGAGGACAGCAATTATAGAAGAACGTTCTTGTCTTTATGATTGAGGTGATGGCGATTTTCTGTAACGACGGTCTCCCGCTACGCCTTTTAGGCGCTCACCCTACAGACTTCGCCGCGGCGGGGGATGGAAGCGCCCTGTTCTGGGTTTTTTGTTCCCCGGAAGATTTCAGTCATTCTGGCAATCGCAGCCTTCATCTCTCCCGGGATCTCTCACCTTCCTGTGATAAAAGACACGGAACGTTCAGCGGAACAATGCGCAAACCGCGACCGGGCTTCGTAGAACCACAGATCTTAAAGAGGACTCGTACTCCGTCTTCAGATGCGTGACCAATTGTGCTCCTGCGTTTGTCACTGAGAACGGGCTCAGGTTCAGTACCAACGTGAGTTCATCCAAACCCAGAAGCAAGCTATCAGTGCCGGCCCAAGCAGCTGCGGCCCGGGCGGATCGCGTCCACATCTGGACAGAAACATAGGGGCAAGATCCCCCTGCGTCCCTCCTGTGATGCGGCGGTGAGACAACCGCTTGATAACATCTCCATTTGCAGCTTCCAGACACGCCGGGATCACAGGGATCACACCTTCTGGTTCTTCACCGTGTCCAAATGATATGGGTCTCGCAGATATAAAATCACAGCTGACATTGATGTCTAAGGCTCCCCTTTTACAGATAATCATAGAAGCACTTAAAGTGGTCGTTATACCTAAAAAAGGGGACCCCCCTCCCAGTATTACATTCATTGGTTCCCAATCCAGGGAGATATCATGCGACTCTGCAGCCTTGGTCATTCCTATGGGCTTCATGTCCTGCTGTACATAGCCTGTGCGGAGAGCAGAGCTGTGGGAGGGACCCAGCAGGCTCCACCCACTACAGGGAACTACAGGAGGGGGGTGGAGACAAGACCAATCAGTCTGCACCTGAAGAGAGAGCAGCAGTGAGCGGTCTTTATTACAGGAATTTGTCTAGGATGGTGGTAGGAGGTGTGTCCTTCACCGTATAAGGTATCTCTCCATCTCATTGGGTTGGATGGTGGTAGGAGGTGTGTCCTTCACCGTATAAGGTATCTCTCCATCTCATTGGGTTGGATGGTGGTAGGAGGTGTGTCCTTCACCGTATAAGGTATCTCTCCATCTCATTGGGTTGGATGGTGGTAGGAGGTGTGTCCTTCACCGTATAAGGTATCTCTCCATCTCATTGGGTTGGATGGTGGTAGGAGGTGTGTCCTTCACCGTATAAGGTATCTCTCCATCTCATTGGGTTGGATGGTGGTAGGAGGTGTGTCCTTCACCGTATAAGGTATCTCTCCATCTCATTGGGTTGGATGGTGGTAGGAGGTGTGTCCTTCACCGTATAAGGTATCTCTCCATCTCATTGGGTTGGATGGTGGTAGGAGGTGTGTCCTTCACCGTATAAGGTATCTCTCCATCTCATTGGGTTGGATGGTGGTAGGAGGTGTGTCCTTCACCGTATAAGGTATCTCTCCATCTCATTGGGTTGGATGGTGGTAGGAGGTGTGTCCTTCACCGTATAAGGTATCTCTCCATCTCATTGGGTTGGATGGTGGTAGGAGGTGTGTCCTTCACCGTATAAGGTATCTCTCCATCTCATTGGGTTGGATGGTGGTAGGAGGTGTGTCCTTCACCGTATAAGGTATCTCTCCATCTCATTGGGTTGGATGGTGGTAGGAGGTGTGTCCTTCACCGTATAAGGTATCTCTCCATCTCATTGGGTTGGATGGTGGTAGGAGGTGTGTCCTTCACCGTATAAGGTATCTCTCCATCTCATTGGGTTGGATGGTGGTAGGAGGTGTGTCCTTCACCGTATAAGGTATCTCTCCATCTCATTGGGTTGGATGGTGGTAGGAGGTGTGTCCTTCACCGTATAAGGTATCTCTCCATCTCATTGGGTTGGATGGTGGTAGGAGGTGTGTCCTTCACCGTATAAGGTATCTCTCCATCTCATTGGGTTGGATGGTGGTAGGAGGTGTGTCCTTCACCGTATAAGGTATCTCTCCATCTCATTGGGTTGGATGGTGGTAGGAGGTGTGTCCTTCACCGTATAAGGTATCTCTCCATCTCATTGGGTTGGATGGTGGTAGGAGGTGTGTCCTTCACCGTATAAGGTATCTCTCCATCTCATTGGGTTGGATGGTGGTAGGAGGTGTGTCCTTCACCGTATAAGGTATCTCTCCATCTCATTGGGTTGGATGGTGGTAGGAGGTGTGTCCTTCACCGTATAAGGTATCTCTCCATCTCATTGGGTTGGATGGTGGTAGGAGGTGTGTCCTTCACCGTATAAGGTATCTCTCCATCTCATTGGGTTGGATGGTGGTAGGAGGTGTGTCCTTCACCGTATAAGGTATCTCTCCATCTCATTGGGTTGGATGGTGGTAGGAGGTGTGTCCTTCACCGTATAAGGTATCTCTCCATCTCATTGGGTTGGATGGTGGTAGGAGGTGTGTCCTTCACCGTATAAGGTATCTCTCCATCTCATTGGGTTGGATGGTGGTAGGAGGTGTGTCCTTCACCGTATAAGGTATCTCTCCATCTCATTGGGTTGGATGGTGGTAGGAGGTGTGTCCTTCACCGTATAAGGTATCTCTCCATCTCATTGGGTTGGATGGTGGTAGGAGGTGTGTCCTTCACCGTATAAGGTATCTCTCCATCTCATTGGGTTGGATGGTGGTAGGAGGTGTGTCCTTCACCGTATAAGGTATCTCTCCATCTCATTGGGTTGGATGGTGGTAGGAGGTGTGTCCTTCACCGTATAAGGTATCTCTCCATCTCATTGGGTTGGATGGTGGTAGGAGGTGTGTCCTTCACCGTATAAGGTATCTCTCCATCTCATTGGGTTGGATGGTGGTAGGAGGTGTGTCCTTCACCGTATAAGGTATCTCTCCATCTCATTGGGTTGGATGGTGGTAGGAGGTGTGTCCTTCACCGTATAAGGTATCTCTCCATCTCATTGGGTTGGATGGTGGTAGGAGGTGTGTCCTTCACCGTATAAGGTATCTCTCCATCTCATTGGGTTGGATGGTGGTAGGAGGTGTGTCCTTCACCGTATAAGGTATCTCTCCATCTCATTGGGTTGGATGGTGGTAGGAGGTGTGTCCTTCACCGTATAAGGTATCTCTCCATCTCATTGGGTTGGATGGTGGTAGGAGGTGTGTCCTTCACCGTATAAGGTATCTCTCCATCTCATTGGGTTGGATGGTGGTAGGAGGTGTGTCCTTCACCGTATAAGGTATCTCTCCATCTCATTGGGTTGGATGGTGGTAGGAGGTGTGTCCTTCACCGTATAAGGTATCTCTCCATCTCATTGGGTTGGATGGTGGTAGGAGGTGTGTCCTTCACCGTATAAGGTATCTCTCCATCTCATTGGGTTGGATGGTGGTAGGAGGTGTGTCCTTCACCGTATAAGGTATCTCTCCATCTCATTGGGTTGGATGGTGGTAGGAGGTGTGTCCTTCACCGTATAAGGTATCTCTCCATCTCATTGGGTTGGATGGTGGTAGGAGGTGTGTCCTTCACCGTATAAGGTATCTCTCCATCTCATTGGGTTGGATGGTGGTAGGAGGTGTGTCCTTCACCGTATAAGGTATCTCTCCATCTCATTGGGTTGGATGGTGGTAGGAGGTGTGTCCTTCACCGTATAAGGTATCTCTCCATCTCATTGGGTTGGATGGTGGTAGGAGGTGTGTCCTTCACCGTATAAGGTATCTCTCCATCTCATTGGGTTGGATGGTGGTAGGAGGTGTGTCCTTCACCGTATAAGGTATCTCTCCATCTCATTGGGTTGGATGGTGGTAGGAGGTGTGTCCTTCACCGTATAAGGTATCTCTCCATCTCATTGGGTTGGATGGTGGTAGGAGGTGTGTCCTTCACCGTATAAGGTATCTCTCCATCTCATTGGGTTGGATGGTGGTAGGAGGTGTGTCCTTCACCGTATAAGGTATCTCTCCATCTCATTGAGTTGGGTGGTGGTAGGAGGTGTGTCCTTCACCTACATTCTATATAAGGTATCTCTCCATCTCATTGAGTTGGGTGGTGGTAGGAGGTGTGTCCTTCACCTACATACTGCTATAAGGCATCTCTCCAACAAAGATATCTCATCTACAAATGTCCCCCAAATATCTGAATCTTCTGTGCAGGATTATTTGGGATGCTCCGGTCCTGACTGTTCTGTTATTTCAGGTCTCATCGTGTATCTCGGTATGATGGTTGGAGCGTTCCTGTGGGGTGGATTGGCCGACCGTATTGGCAGACGACAGTGCCTCCTCATCTCCCTCTCCGTCAACAGCGTATTTGCCTTCTTCTCCTCCTTCGTTCAAGGCTACGGGACCTTTCTGTTCTGCCGGCTTCTGTCCGGAGTGGGGTGAGTAACCGTTGTATGTGTACAAGTGGGAACTCCATAGGACTGAGGTTGGGGGAAGGTGAGGGGGGTGAGGGGCTGCAGTAAACTATTGGGATCAGTGCAGCCGTCAGTAATTTTGGGGCACCTTTCCTTCCTACCTTCCTCGCTCCTCTTACCTGCACACGTGGCCTCCTCTGCCGCCGGACCGGCCAGAAGTGACGTCACTCCCGCCCAGTACGACATCAGACGAGCAGCGTCGCTGATGGGGCCCCGGCTTGTCGCTGGAGCGGCAATGCTGGGGCCCTGCGCTGCTAGGGGCCAGTCCTTGCCCTTCACCGTTGGCCGATAGTCATGTAAGGGGCCCCGGGCGGCCTGGGGGTATCGGCCGTACCCCCTCTGATGGCTGCCCTGGACCTACCACCCGAATATCTGGATCTGCTGATGGTTTTGGCACGCGGGTTTCGTCGAAGACTTGTGTGATCGTTCACTGTATTTGTAGCCTGAATTTGTGACAGGTCCTCTTCGTGCCCCTGCCCGAGGCCCCTGCCCAGCTGTGCCTCCTGATCACCGTATTGAAAAGCAGCCACGCGGTTATATCACAGGACTGTAGGCGTGTAATTCAATATACCGCGGTTGTAATGGCCGATACGCGCACCGCCGCTTACGCTTAACGCTCCGAACTTGTCTCAGTTTAGTAATGGCAGCAGTGATGGGTCCAGAAGGCCGTGCTGCTCCAGCTCCGTCTACCATTATCGGTAGCAGTGATAGGTCCAGAAGGGAGCGCTGCTCCAGGTCCATCCACCATTATCAGTAGCAGTGATGGGTCCAGAAGGCCGTGCTGCTCCAGCTCCGTCTACCATTATCAGTAGGAGTGATAGGTCCAGAAGGGAGCGCTGCTCCAGGTCCATCCACCATTATCAGTAGCAGTGATAGGTCCAGAAGGCAGTGCTGCTCCAGCTCCATCCACCATTATCAGTAGCAATTATAGGTCCAGAAGGGAGCGCTGCTCCAGGTCCATCCACCATTATCAGTAGCAGTGATGGGTCCAGAAGGCCGTGCTGCTCCAGCTCCGTCTACTATTTATCGGTAGCAGTGATAGGTCCAGAAGGCCGTGCTGCTCCAGCTCCGTCTACCATTATCAGTAGCAGTGATAGGTCCAGAAGGCCGTGCTGCTCCAGCTCCGTCTACTATTTATCGGTAGCAGTGATAGGTTGCCATAGTACACTCGTCACCTCCCCTTTCTTTGGCTTATTGTTGCTGCTGATGAACATGATGACATGTTTTGTTCTCCTAGCATTGGTGGGTCCATCCCCATCGTCTTCTCCTACTTCTCGGAGTTCCTGGCCCAGGAGAAGAGAGGCGAGCACCTGAGCTGGCTATGTATGTTTTGGATGATCGGGGGTATATATGCCTCGGCCATGGCGTGGGCCATCATCCCTCACTACGGTAAGGAATTCATACGCTCCGTCTACTTTGGGGGTCCTTGTTTTGTCGGCCAGCCAGTGACGGACCATTCCGATGTTGCCATTTTCCAACAAGTAGCCATGTTCAATATGGAAATAAGATGTCACAGAGGTGACCTAAAGTGTTTAACTGTTTGCTGTCTGTTACCTCACTTCCTGTCCTGGATACACAACAGGAAGTGAGAATAAATCTCCTCGATGAGGGGAAATCTTGTCATTGGGACAAGTGTCACCATTAGAAGACTTCTCCTCACCTCCTGCTTAAAGACAA